TGACTCTGGATGAAGTTTAGAGAAGAAAGTGCTGAAGCAAGGCTCCAGTTGAACCTTAGGAAGACAAAAGTCATGACTACAGAAGAACTGCACAACTTTAAATGTTGCTGACAGTGAGGAAATGGAGATTGGTGAAGATTTGTTATAGCTTGGTTCAATCATCCATCCAAAGGGAGACTGCAGCCCAGAAATCAGAAGAGGATGGAGACCCGGAATAGAAGCTATGAAGGAACTAGAAAAGATCATCAGGTCTAAGAATAACCACTGGAGAAGAAGACCAAGACTATCCACACTATGGTATTTGCAATGCCTGCTTACAGATGTGAAAGCTAGAGAGCGAAGAAAGCTGACGGGGGGAAAAAGCCGAGTTGCTTGAAATGTGGTGTTGGAAGAGAGCTCTACAGAGACCATAGTGTGCCGAAAAAGACACATAAAGGGGTTATAGATCAAATTAGAAGATAAGTCTTGCTGGAGAAGACAACAATGTTAGGAAAAGTTGAAGGCAGCAGGATAGAGAGCGAGCTGACGGGGGGAAAAAGCCGAGTTGCTTGAAATGTGGTGTTGGAAGAGAGCTCTACAGAGACCATAGTGTGCCGAAAAAGACACATAAAGGGGTTATAGATCAAATTAGATTAGAAGTCTTGCTGGAGAAGACAACAATGTTAGGAAAAGTTGAAGGCAGCAGGAAAAGAGGAGGGCTCAATGTGAGACGGGTTGACTCGAGCCATGGCTTTGCGTTTGCAAGAGCTGTGCAGGGGCTGTTGAAGATGAGACTTTTGCAAGAGGTTGGAAAGTGGCTTCACGGCACGTAACTCATTCATGAAGCAGGGAAATCAAGAACCACAAGGTTTCCCTTTCTACGTCCAGCAGGACAGGGAGACTCTTCCCGACTTGAGTGAAATGCCCAATCCGATTTGAATTATCAGAATCATTTGTAAATTCCTCATCTCTGTCTGTGCATTAGTGGCACACAATTCTGTGCCAACCAGAGTCACCCTCCTCTTTTGCCTTCTCCTTTCACCAGATGGGTTAAGAAGTTCTACTTAAGGGAGGACTGGAGAGGGCCACGGCCGACCTCTTGATGTTTCTGGCCTCGATAAGAGAGCCAGTGGCTAGAGGTGCTGGGAGTTGTAGGTGCTAAACATCTGGACAGCCTCCCCATTGTGGTTCTATCTAAAAAGATTATGCACCTTAGGGTCTACTTTAAAGCAAAGCATTCCCAGGAAGAGTTAGGGACCTTGAAGCTGGAACCGTAACAAAATCAATAACAAGACTCACAATATTCATGATTATAGAACTTGCAGGTTCAGAAGGCTTTTGCACACACCGTCCAGCTGTTATTCCTCACAACGGTCCAGTGAGGTCGGCCAAAGTTATTGTCCCCCGAGAGGTGGACGGGGGGAAACTGAGGCTGAGAGAGAGAGCAGCCTGCCTTGTCCGCCTCTTGTTTGTTCTCAAAATGGACCAGCGAGCTGGCTAGGAGATGGTCCGGGATTTGTCATCCAGGGAGACAAGATTGGGTTCGAATTCTGCCTTTAAGAAAACTCTAAAGGGTTTTGTCTTTAAAGGATTAAGATAAGATGGCAATAGTGTCACCTTCACATTCCACCGCTTATCTCTGGGCTTTGAACTGCGGGAGGGGCGGGGGAGAGGAAGACCCACAGTTAAGGTGGGTGGTGCCAAGACGGGATCAAGATAAAACTACTTTTTAACTTTGGAATTACTCAGACCATCTACCTCATCTACCAAAATATAGATTCCAGACAGCCACCCCAGGAAGAAGCCTGGCTGTATGGCTTAAAGCAAAACATGGGCCCTTAGGTTTTTTCTGGTAAAAATGCCTGTGGTTTCATCTTCCTCTGGAGAACGGCACCTCTTGAACTCAAGGCCGGTTTGATAGCCCTCGTTTCATCCCCAGGTCGGTTTCCCTTGGAAAAAAAAGGAGGTGAGCAGAAGCACCTAGAAGCTGCAAGCAGTGGCTGCCCAGCTTTGAAACACTGCATTCAACGTCCAGGGGCCAAGCTTTGGCAGGTTTGGGCAACCAGCAGAACCCCCCTCAAGGGTCCCGGGGCAGAAAATTAGCCCCCCGAAACCTGCAGAAGTGGTCAGTCCTGTGGAAAAAAGATGGGGACCCTTCTTTCGTCCGGGGAGGTGGTAAGTTCTGGTTCCGAATATGGGGACCTGCAAACTTTGCTCAGTGTAATTGGTAGAAAAACGTGTATCCGTGTGTGTGTGTGTGTGTGTGTGTGTGTGTGTGTGTTTGTGTGTGATATCTGCAATGAGCAACAGGAAAAAAGTGAGGGTATTTTAAGCAATAGCAAGGAAAAACTGGCTGCGGTGGTGACATTTCCTTCTCTTTCCTTGTTCATCATTCCAAATACAAGTGTTAATTTCTCGTCTCCATACTGTGCCTTGCGAACTGACAATTGTGTTGTCACTTCGGATCGCTGTTGCAAGCCAAGGGGCAAATTCTGTTCAAAACACAGGGAGGGGAAACAAAAGTCGGCCCTTTCCATATGCTGCAGTTCAAAATTCGAATAATAAGGCCGTGCTTCAGATTACATCTTCCATCAGGCCGATGGGGGATTCTGGGCATTGTAATTCAAAAAGTTATTTTGCCAGGGGCTCCTGTAGTTAAGTGGGGGGATAGAATGGGGCCTCCCCGCCCGCACCCCAAACTTACTTATGGAAAGTTCTCAATGGGCTAGGGAGAAAAATTATATTAAAAACAATGTAAATCTCTTTTCTTTCTAAACCACAGCTCCAGTGAATGTCTTCTTCCCACACCTCCAAGTCTGTAATTCAGTTTTTTTTAATGATGTGCAAGGAGTGGAGTTAATGCCAGACATGGTTAGATCCTGCCTCTTTGCTCAGCTCTGCTAATAAGTGGTTTTTTGGCTGAAGGATCCCGTCTGAAGGACGTCAAATGCTCTTGTTTAAAAGACTGTGATCCACTTCGCAGTCCAGAAATCTGGCAGAGTGGCTCCATCTACCGTCCGTAAAACAAGACACACGTTTGCCGGCAGGTTTATATAATCCAGAAAAAGTACAACAGAAAAGTTTGGGGGGGGGGAACCTCCTTACTGTATATTTCTTCCCCTGGACGGAAAAAAACTTTTTAATGTGTTGACTTGCCACTAAAAGCTGCAACTTTTCTTCTGGATGTGTTTTTAAATTGGTTTAAATTGCTCTTAATGGGGCTTTTGATGATGTCTCTGGTTTTGTGTCGTGATGGTTTCCTTTCCCTGTTCATTGTTCCCATTAGCTGCCCTGGGTCCCATCTGTGAAAGAAAACTACCTTATAAATCCCCACAAATAATTAACCAAGAAATGGGGAAGGAGGAAAGGAAGCCATTTTTTTCAGTCGGACGGCTGCTGTTCTCAGTGCCCGCCTGGAAGGAACGCAGAACGGATGGGGAACATTGAGCGGAGCCTGGAAAAATTAGCTTTGGGTTTCGTCCTCGTACTGACGAAAAGAAGCCCCATTGCAATCATGTTCTGCTTTTCTGAAAAAACGGTTTCATAGAATCCTAGAATCCTGGAGTTGGAAGGGGCCTTGAAGGCCATCTAGTCTGACCCCCTGCTCAAGGCAGGAACCCAGGTCAAAGCAGGTCTGACAAATGGCGGTTCAATGTTCTCTTGAACACCTCCAGAGCTCACTACCTTCCCCTGAGGTCATGGGTTCCGTTGTCATACTGCTTTAACAGTTGAGAAGTTTTTCCTGATTTTCAGCCTAAATCTGGCTTCCTGTAGCTTGATTACGTGTCCTGGGGACGATGGAGAACAGATCCTTCCTCTGCTCTTTTAAAATAAGGCATCACGCAGCATGGTCTTTAGAAAGGTCTGAGGGAATTATCTAGGTAGGTAGCCATCCCAGTGTTTAGCTCTTGGGATATAATAGGTGATCAACGCCTCCCACTCCTGAAATGATAGGGGGAAAAATCCAAATTCTACCCTTCCTGGATGAGATAAAAAAAAAGTTTGGGTTTTTTTTTCACTTTTTGAACCTTTTTTGCGAAAGATTCACAGGAATTGTCTTGTGGGCTGTGTGCAGGAACATGTATGTAGTGCTAATATAATCCTGCGCAGGATGAACACTACTCTGTGCAAGAACTCTAATCACCCAGGGCAACTTAGCATTTCCTCCAGAAAAATAATGACTCCCCCCCAAAGTTCCGAGAAATCTCACTAAATGTCTTAGAAATTATCTTGTGTGTGTGTTTGTGTGTGTGTGAATTTCACTCAGAGGAGAACAGAGTGGGGATTTCACACACACACACACACACCCAACCCTCGGTTTCTCTCTGTAACCAACAGATCGTGACTTTCACCTCCCTAGCATGAGAAGTAGTTGGTTCACTATTCTTGCTTAGAGAGTTTTCTACCCATCCCACTTTTAAACTGTGATTGTGATGCTCTGGGTGTGCCTAGGAGGTTTGTTTGAAAATGAAGAGTTTCATTCCTGCTTAGGATGCAAAAAAGCACCATCCGTATAATAGTGAGAAATGCAAAACTGAAACACTGCCACGGAATCCTTGGGCCAAACCCAAAATCAATGATGGGTTATACATTCATTGGGTGACTAAAATATCATTAAAAAAAATCAGGGGGCGACTCTATGTCCACTGAATTTACACCGCAGACAGCCACCCGATACTGGATCAAACCGGATTATTCAAGTTTGTAGCCTGTGCCGCGGAATTTTCTACCATATTTTGCAGCTTCCAGCATCTAGTCGAGATTGATAATCTCCGAGATGTGTAACACCCAGTGTGTTGGCCATTCCTGCATCCCTGGCTGAGCCATCCCCTCTGTTCATTTGGAAGTCCTAAGCATCCTGAGCAGGATCACACCCACAGACATTGCCTGCAAGCTCATACCGAACACATGAAAAGCAATGCTGGCAGAGTCCGAGGGGGGGAGCGGACTCCACCCTGCTCCCCCAGACCCTCTTCTGATCTTTTTGGGGTTAAGAGGAAAGGCAGAGAACCGTCACTTACTGATGCTCAGGACAAAAATGGCAAAGATCCCGACCACTTGCCAGAGGCGCAAGCCCCAGATGACCACTGTCTCCGAGGTGACCGGATCCGGTTTCTTCTTTGGTGGTTCGGTGGGAGCCTAGAAGGTGAAGAGCAGAGGAAGAAGAGAAATAGAAGAGACACAGGGATCAGGACCAGGAACACCAGGAGGAAAAGGCTCAAAAACGTCTCAGCACATCCGACATAGGAGACACACTCCTGCAGTGGCCACCCAACCTTGGCCTCGAATCCTCCAACCATGGAGAGCCCACCTTTCTGA